TTAGACAGCAATATGTGGGCAGTTTTATGGAAAGCAGGGCATATTGAAGGTGAAAGCAGCAGAGGGAATCACTGAGTAATCTGCCCAACAGAAAAGTAAATAACGAAAGATAGATATTGTTTAGAGCCATGTTCTTGATTGTAATCCTTTCTATTAAGAAAGATTAACATTAAAACACCATCTATCCAATAAGATATGTATTTATTCCTTTAATTATATATATCAGGTCATCCTATAAGTTCTGTCCGAATTTTGAATAAAGAAAACAAGTGACCAAATGTTACATTCAATTACAGATGTATTTTCCCTGATTATCTATGACTTCCTTCCATCTATTAACAAGCTTACTAATTCCATTACTGTAAAATTCTTTTTGGCTTTGATTCGAAGAACTCACAAATGTCAGTTTTAACCTCTTCCTGTGTTACAAAAGCTGTTTCTTCCAAATGATTCTGTAAGCTACGAAACAAATGGTAGTCTGAACGAGCAAGATCAGGAGAATAAGGTGGATGAGGAATTTTCTCCCAACCAAGTTCTTTGATCTTTTGTGATGTGATTCTTGCTGGGGGTCGCACATTGTCCTGATGAAACATCACCTCTTTTCGATTCACTAGAGCCGATCTTTTTTTCCTCAAAGCTTCGTTCAAACGCTCTAATTACTGACAGTATATTTGAGCATTAATTGTTGTATTGGGTGGAAAGAAATCAAAGTGGATTATTCCTTGGCGATCCCACCAGATTGAAAGAAGAACCTTTTGCTCATGAAGTTCCCTTTTTGGCTATGGCTGGGGTCCTTCCCCTTTACCAAGCCACTGTCTATGATGCTTAACATTTTGATAAAAGATCCATTTTTCGTTGCCAGTCACAAATCTATCCAAAAAAGGTGAAACAAGTTGGCGAGAATGGAGAGAAGAGCAGATGTCAACTCAGGATTTGAGGTTGTTTTCAGACAATTCATGAGGCACCCATTTTCCAAGTTTAGGAACTTTTCCAAGTTGTTGAAGATGACGATAAATAGTTGTATGGTTTGAATTGAGAACTACTGCCAATTCCTCAACTGATAAAGCAGGATTTTCTTCAAGGGCTGCTTCAAGAAGCTTTTCATCAAACTCAACTGGACGTCCAGTTCGGTCTTCATCTTCAAGGGGGTAATCTCCACCTCTGAATTTTGCAAACCATCTTCTGCAAGTTCTTTCATTCACAAATTCCTTTCCATAAAATGAGTGAATGTTTCTAGCCACTTCGGCTGCTGGGTTTCCTTTCTTGAACTCAAAGCATTATGTGCCTCAAATGATTCTTGGGTACTTCCATGTTAGCAGGGTTTTAATCAAACAAAATTTAATTTTATTGTTCTCTGAAATAAAATTTGATCAGTTTAAATGCATCTAAACATAAAAATAATGTTCAGCTCCATTAGACATTATAAAATACTCTTTAAATTTTGTTCATTTTAAGAAAAAGTTAAAATTCGGACAGAACTTATGGGATTACCTGATATTATATATATATATAATCATATATATTCTGATAATTAATAGAAAATAATAAGTTATACAGATCATCAACTGTTGTTAACTGGGGCAAGAAATGACTTGTTAATTTTAATACCAACAAAACTACTCTCTTTTAAGCATCTTAGAGAACCTTTTTCACTTTTCATCAGTATGGCTAATGCTAACCTCTTGTTTTCTACTGATATGAAGTGGAAAGATTGCTGCATGGAAAGCGGGTTTATTGTGTTTTGCTAGACAATTTTCCTTGCCAGAATCTATCTTACATATTTATAAGTCTACCATTCATTCATGCATTGAATATTGCTGCTACATATGGTCTGGTGCTTCTGCTAAGTATTGAGAGATTGTTGATAAATTACAGAGAAGAATCTGCAATGTTATTGGTCCTGACCTGGCATCTCAGCTCCAGTCACTTTCCCATCGCTGTAATGTAGCTTCCCTGTGCCTTTTCTATAAATATTTTTCATGGTAATTGTTCCAATGAGCTTTACTCTTTAGTGCCTTAGCTTTACAAATTTAAGTGCAATAATCGATTGACTCAGAATGAGAAAGTCAAGAGCCGAGTTCAAATTCTAGTCATGTTTTTACATTCATTTACGCACAAATATCCTTGAGGATGGTATGAATTCATCTCTTCTTCCTCAGCTATGGGTTTAATAGCAGGAGAGATTGGGTCCTATAGCCTTTGTTGGCAACCAGTCTCCTGCAGAAGGAAAAGACAACCTACTGTAGGAAAATCTTCTACCTAGCCAGTCATGAATCAAAAGTGACATGATCACCAAAGCATATGTCATGTATGACCCTTAACTGACTGACTAGATTGGCAGCTAGGTCTCATTATTTTACAGATTTTACATGTAACTGTAAGTTCTACACTAACAGTTTCTTGCACTTCTTACTTGGGAAAGTCTTTTCTGGCCTCTTGCTTTGATCTTGAAAAGTTTAAATGCTGTGTCAGTCATTATCTTTCTCTCTCTAGACATGTTTTTTTTTTCCTAATATTCTTTTACATTCAGCAACCCCATGTGTGGATTTATCGCCTTGCTTGGGGTAAAATGCTTAAAAACAATATTTAGCTCTGGATTAAAAGGAAAAAAATAAGAATTCCAATCATAATCTAAAACAATTGAATAACCCAGCAGCGGTTAAATATTATTTAATCACCTAACCTCACTTCTGTTAGGTTGTTCAGAAAATATCAGGTTGGTGCAAAAGTAATGTCTGATTTTAAGGTCTATATTAAAAATGAAAAAGCCCATGATTATAAAAATATTTATTTGTTAAAATAACCCCCTTTTCTTTCTAGAACATCATTCCATCTGTCAACAAGCTTATAAATGCCACATAAGTGTAAAATTCCTTAGGTTTTGAAGCAAAATATTATTCCAACTCATTTTCAACCTCATCTCTTGATATCAACTTAAGACCATCCAAATGATTCTATAGATCCCGAAACAAGTGATAATCAAAAGGAGCAAGGTCAGGAGAATATGGCAGATTATTTCCCAACCAAACTCTTCCAAAAGACTTTTAGTCAACTGAGCTGTGTGAGGATGAGCATTATCATGATAAATGACAACACCCTTTCTGTTTACTAAGGAAGGTCGCTTTTGGTTCAAAGCTGTTTTCAAATGATAAAGTTGATCACAGTACAGATTAGCAGCAATTGTTTGACTGTTGTTTAAAGCTTTGTAATAGACAATTCCTTCAATATCCAACCATGCGCTCAACATAATCTCCTTTGGATGAAGTCCTCCTCTTGATTGTTGAACTGATCTTCCTCCTCAATTATCTACAATCAGCTGTATTTAATGTTATGGTAAAGAATCCACTCTTCATCACCTGTAACAAGGCTACCTAAAAATGGTGTTTGAAAGTGTCATAAAAGCAATGATTCACAACAAGCACCATGCTGTTGCAGATTCTCTGGAGACAGTTTGTGTTGGAACCATTTCCCAAGCAGTGAAACCTTCCCAATCCTTTTTAATTGGCGGAACATGGTTTATATTATCTACATTAAATTGTTCCGCAAGTTCCCTCGAGGTAATGGTGGGATTGTTATTGATAACAGCTTCCAACTCTTCAGAATCAAGTTTTTTTTGGACGACTCTCTTTTTGCTCGCTTTTCAAACTGAAATCTCCACTTTGCAAACAGAAAAACCACGTCGTGAAACTTCTTTAATTCACTGCATCATCTTCATAAACACTTTACATTTGCACTTGCATTGACAGCTTTATGAAACTTATACAGTAAGATATGTTGAATGCGATCTTTAGATGGGATGAACATGGGTGCAAATATTGCGAAAGATCATTAAAAATATTTAAATAAATCTGAAAGAGAAAAATATGAATTACTTATTGTGACATTCTTTAACTATAACGAGAAACACAAATTTCATAACTACTAAAACTTTCTTCTCAAAAATTGGACATTACTTTTATACCAACCTGATAATATCTGATCATAGAATCAATCAGTGTTTCGATCAATCAAAATAGGAGCCCTGGACATCTATATCTTTTGGCCAATCGAGCTGTAACGTTATGTATGCCTTTACAATGAAACTGAAGGTGTGGGCACCAAAAAATATTTGAATGTAGTTTCTGTATGTTCTTTGTGGCGGAATGTCTTTTGCTTAATCAATTATGAAAATGCTTGAAAGTTGGTAATCAATGGACAAGAGATCAAAATATGGTGGATGTAGCCAAAGTCTGTCAAAGCTAGGTCAGACGAGAAAACAGCTGCCAAGCACTTATCACCTAAAGTTTTGAAAGTGCACCCACATACTGTTGTATGATCAGCATAGATATTCACAAATGATCAGAGTATACACTTAGGCAGATCATTTATGTAAAGTAGAAAGAGGCTTGGGTCGAGAAGCGAGCCTTAAGAAACGCCTGCGTTGACCCAACAGCCTTTATACACATGATAATAATAATGCAAGATGAGATGAGAAAGCAGCTGGCAAGCTCTGGTCACCGAGAGCTTTTAGAGGTGCACCCATATACCGTTGTAGCATCAGCATAGATATTCACAAATGATCGGTGTATACTCTTAGACAGACTATGCAAAGTAGAAAGAGAGTTGGACTGAGCAGTGAGTCTTGGGGACGCCTGCATTGATCACTTTGTTTCCAGATGATTGGCTGTAAACAACTACCTTCAAAGATTTAACCATCTGGAAGGACTTGAAATCTGAGACGACTCTTCCAGTAATTCTATAGCTAGAGAACTTGTGTAGTAACGCTCTATGCCACACTTTGTCAATGGCCTTTGAAATATCTAATGTTAGCGTCCTTGAGATGTATTTGTTATGTGAGTAATGACGGTTAGGACATAAGCAGTGGGCCGAGTTGGTTAAAACTAATACTACTCTGTAAAAAGACTCTTGAAACAAAATTAGTGAACAGAATATAATTTTAATATCAGAAAATGTTTTTAACTTGTGCTATACTGACGATCCTTTCATTGTGTTCATTGTAGAAACAAAACTGAATTGGTTCCCGATGAGACGTTCTGGAAACAGTCCCTGATAGTGAATTTCTCTGAGAGTCACCATTCAAAAAGCAGCTTTGAAGAAGAGGAAGAAGGAACAAAAGAAGAAATAAAGAGTGAGGAAACTGTACAGACCGATGCATTTAATGCTGATACAGCATACAGCATCCTTGAATGGACGCCGCACTTCTTGCAAGCCATTCTTGAGCCTGTCATCAAAGCTGGAAAGTCGATGGATGTTTTCAGCACCCTCAACTGCCTGAACAATGTTTTGGCATCAAGAAACCTTCTTGAACGTAAGTCCCTATCTTTGTCTTTCCTGATCCTTTATCTATCTTATTCTATTCATTATCTATCTCAAGGGATGAAGATAGTTCCTTTCAAAGAATAGTATGTGCATGAGTATTTTTTTTTTTATATATGTGAGTGGCTGCACAAGTGTGCCTCCATACTCTTGACATCTTCTCCAGGATCCAGTGACAAGGTCACTTCAAAATGGTTGATGATGCATCTGCTGGAGTAAATAGCCTGAGAAAACTTCTATAAAAGGAATATCCATCTCATTCTTCTTCCCATGTGTAAGACTAACTTATTTTCTTTCTCTTAGACTGGCCACCAGTCATGGTTAGAGAGACTGGTCTGGTGCTATTTAATCCATAGGTGGTGGTGGAGGTTAGATTCATGCCTTGCACTGGAGAGGTCTTTTGCTCAGTTGATAATGCACTATAAACTATTTCTAAATGTGATTACTGCAAAAGCCTGATTGTAATTACTATATAAGCAATTCGATAAGCGTAGAAGAGGTTGTGTGTGTAATACTCTCGGCATGGAAAGTGGAATTGGAGAGAGCAAATTCTGGTTTTGTCTGATGTATATTTTGCACTAGCCTCCCTGGAAAAGGTGTGAAACCATCTTTTCTCTGCCTGTAGCTGAATGCACAACTCTCACAGCTAAAGAATTACAGTCACTGTGCATTTTCAAGGGCCAATATATTCCCACGAGTAGTGCAGTCTTGCCAAGAGATGGGTGATTTTTATGAAGTCACGTTTTCTTGAATGGTTGCCAACCAAGGCTATAGAGACCAGTCTGTCCTGTTATTTAATACATAGTAGGTGGGAGATGAGATGGATTCATATGTTGCCCAAGGATAATTGGGCACAAGTGAATGTAATGAACTCGGCCGGAATTAAAACGCATCTCTCTGGTTTCTCGTTCTGAACCACATCTGCATCTATGCATTAAGTAGCAGGCTAGACTGGACTCTCTAGTCTTGACTGTCAGCCAGTCTAAGAGAAGGAAAACTTTCAATTTCAAACTATGGAGAAGGAAACTGCTCATGTACCTATCTCAAAACCCCTGACAATTCACAGATAATAAAAGAAAAGGAAAGTGTGTTTTGATATTTCAATTAAAAAGCAGATAATTTTAAAATAGAATATGATTAATATAACAGGATTTCCTACAGTCAGATTGGGTGGGGGAATAAGAATAAAATGGTCACAATGAACAGATGTCCCCTCAAAGAGGTACCATGCCTTGAGAAACTACTGGGTCTTAAACTCACACCTGACCTCAAGTGGAACTCATACATACAAGTCATCACTAAAGATGCAGGTAAAATGTTCAGCTCCCTGTACCACTCCAGTAAGTATACCTGACTCCACATGCCATCTTCTATCTTTACAAGTGCCAGATCAGTCTAAGAATGGGGTACTATTGTCATGAGCAGTGGGCTGGAGCTGTTCATTCCAAAACAGTCCTTGTAGGTGACAAATTATTTTGCACAACCTCCAGGCTCTCTTACTCTCACAAGCGGGATGTGACAAGCTTCTCATTGCTCTGTCACTACTTTCACAGAAAGTGCTCAGACAAACTACATACCTTGGTTCCGCCAGGCTTCATCTTCTTGGCACCCACCTCCATCCATGCTATTTACATTGTAGCAAATCACCCACATTCACTCCATGTTCCCTCAGTGAGAAGCAGGTTCCACTTGAACAGCTTTACTGTGAACCACTGCACTATGGAACTGACTCTCAAGAGGATGTTTCCCTGATCACCCTGTTCAAGTCTAGAGTTAATCTTTGCCTTCTTCTTCTTCTATCCATAGAGTCAGGATTCTTTACATCTTGAATGGACATAGCATTTAAAAAAAAATAATAAAAATAAATCATTAAGTTCACAATCTAATGATAAAGAAATCATTTATTCTACACAACAAATATTTTACAGTATTATTTCCTTCTTTGTCATAATAAATTAATAATTATCTTTTAATTTGTTTTATGTTTCTTATTCGTCAGACGCATACAGTTGGTAAGGAAAATGTTATAACTTCTGGTTTTAATAAAAGCTTATAACTCGTGTCGTAATGACAATCTGTCTACTTGAGTGTACCATGCAAAAGCACAAAGAAAAAAAATTATGACTTTCTGCGATGTCGGCTGTTACCGTGTAACTCCCATGAGTATTTTAGACAAGCCATCAAAACAAACATGAAAAAAATCATCTTTTACGTCATACATATAATATTAATAAAAAAAAATCTATATAAGAACAAAAACAAATAATGTTGAAAAGTAATCACATGCTGCTAAGATGCAGAATGATTTTTTTTCAACCATTTTTTTTTTTTTTTATCTTTAAGAAAAAAATGTGGTTATATGCCTTCAAATAAAGTAATAGCTTTGTCCGCCTTCAGACTTATTGATCTGCCTTTGTATGTATATTCACACACACACACACACACACACACACACATATATAATTTGTCACCTAGCTGATTGATGTTCTGTTCAACACCCTAACTTCAGAGTTTTGTAGACCCCGGCCTTTTTGTAATCATTCAGTTCACTCATAAAGAAGTATCAGCAAATTACTTCAAATGTTATTTTAATGGATACCCATTTGAGTAAATGCTTTGATTATTTTAAACTGTATTTCATTTGTCTACTGGCCTGCACACTCGAGTAAACATTAAAGGAAATGTGCTCTATTATTTTAAGTAAGTTTTCTTGAGTGTACAGGCCGGTAGCTGAAATAAATACTTTAAAATAAAACAGAGTGTCTACTCAAATACTAGTATCCACTAAAAAGGATGTTGGAAGTTATAAAAATATGTTGTATTATTAAATAGATCCATTAATTCTTTATACATATACTTTGTGTGCTTTAGTGTGGAGAGAGAGAGAGAGTATAAATTGTTTATTTGATCCTTCCCTTAATGATCCTTTTTTTTTTTTTTTTTTTTTTTTTCATTCTGTTTCTCTACTTTGGGAGTTTGAGAATTTTTTTTGTTTTTAAATCTATCAATCTTACTATTTTCCCCCTTTTGCATGTGACAATCATTTTAATCATAATAAAGTGGCAGATGTAAAATCATGTCCAGAGCAAGAACAGTGCTTCTTCACCATACAGGTATATATGCACACATCCTAATATATTATTAACAATCTGTTATTTATTATAGTATCAAACTTCTACTTTCATACATTGGTCATACCATAATCACCTTATCTTAACAGTTAACTTAGCATTTATACAGCTAGAGTGTAATACATATATACACGTTGGCAAATTCTTGCAACATGATACGAGTCTTTCTCCCATGAGTTGACAACATCCTTGCATTCTGTATTAAGTTCTAAAATGTTCAAAAAGCTCTTATTAAAATAAAAAGGATCATTGTTAAATAGAATTTTCTTCAGCCATGCTTAGATTTTGAAAGTATTAAAAGATGATTAAAAGATACATTTTTAGCAGAATATGTTTTTCCAGAAATTCTTCACACAAGGTAATGTCAGAAAAATGCCTAAGAAATCCCAGCTTTGATTTTTAAAAACAAATAGAATCTGTTATTATTAATTTTTGGCTCCATTTTTTTTTTTTTTTTAATTCTATGATTGTTAAATAAGCAGCATGGATAAAAAATAAATGAACCTCTGGCAAGATTTGAACTCTTATCACTTATTACTGGGAGCCTGTCTTTATTAGTTTGAAAAGGAAGTCTTTACTAGTAGATGTTCACATAAGTCTATTCTTTTCTTCTCCAGTCACTACTAGATATTAAATCTGATTTATTTTTGTTTTTCGTAATTGCTAATGAATAAAGTCAAAACTCTGTAAGCAAATTTTGTCATCATTATCCTATGTATTCTATTTTATTGTAAGAATATGCATTAAAAACTGTGATAGGTTCACTGCACGTTCACAAAGAAACAAAAGTTGAAAATAAATACCACATCAAGAAATGAGAACTTGAGCCCTGTTTCCAATGTGTTTAAAAATGGATGTTTTATTCGGGACTTTGCTTGCTCTGTTTGGCAGTCTAACAGCTCAGTTTTTTTCCTCCTACCAACTCTGCCTATCTGCACATCACCACATGTGGCTGGCCACACAAACAACTGAGATTGGTCCCACAAGACAGCCTGTTCCTTGCAAACAGCAGACTAGAACTGACTGCTTCAATCCCAACTGTGACTGTTAATATTTGCCATCATTATTGTCCAGTTGTATTGTCACTTGACTTCAGATGCTTTCTTTTGCTTATTTGTTCTTTACTTCTTTGGTCAAGTGGTTGCTGCATAGAATATTTGACTTCAAAGACCTCATCTGTTGGCTATAAAGCAGCAACACTTGACGTTATGATAAAATCACACTTTCCTCTTCTACATGGGATTCTCAATCATAGTGTCACAAGAAAAAAAAAAGAACAATTATTTTTGTTTTCTAAATTTGCAGAACAATCTCAGTCTGTTTGCTATAAACAACTAAACAACATATAGTACTCAAATTTGGTGTTCTTACTTATTAGACCCAGAAGGCTTTTATCACAAAAATGTTTTTCCTCAAAATGAAAGGCAGTGGAGCCTACCTGTTTGCTTCTATGCAGAAATAACTTTCTTATTAACAAATACCATTTGCAACCATTGGGTGTAAGGCTACAATTTTGCTTTAATAATTAATGTTAAGAGAAATATTTATGCACTTTCAAAAGAGATCACAAAAAGGTTTTTCTCACAAATAAAAATTCTCTGAAAGTAAAACTTGATGTACATGAATAATAACAATAATACATTTGTATTGTTTCATGAAGTAGAATAGGTCACCATTTTACTGTCTTTAGAGACAGACTTGTACCCTTACTTTTCATGAAGCAAACCAGGTCACTGTTTTGAACCCTTACTTACATGAGGACTTTAGCTAGCTATTTACTAACTTATAAGATGATTGTTGAGCTGTCACATGAATCATTCCAAGATCAGCTTCCTTTCCATCTTATCGGCTTATTGGAAAC